TCGCTCTTTCTTTCTCTCTTTCCTTCCTTCATTCCTTCTCTCTACTCTCTCTCTCTTTCCTTCCTTCTTTCCTCCTTCTGCTGCCCAACTCTAGTGAGAAGGGGTTTAAACTTTAAACCCCTCCTCTCTTCGCTTCCCCCCCCCCCAAGGGGAGGCTTTTGAAGATGCCTCCCCCCCTTTTCTTCCCCTTCTGACATCACTTCTGGTGATGTCAGGGGGCGTTGCATATGCTAATGATATAGTATGCTAATAGCCTAGTAGCTCATTAGCATACCATATGCTAATGAGCTCCTGCAGCTCTTTTTCTACGAAAAGACCCCTGCTCCAGGGAAACTGATCACTGTAGTTTAGAGATCAGTTGTAATTGTGGGAGCTTTCCAGGCTCAACCTGCACGTTGGCAGCCCTACACCGATGGGACCCAGAACAGCTTGGCTTCAGCACAGATACTGTGACACATGCCCTCCAACTTTACCCTGGGACCATGAGAAGTATCACACGTCCATGTTGTCCATTATTATATATTTCTTTCTGTTTCTATTTGATTCTGCTCTGTTAACAATACTTACATTTCTTTCCAGACCTGAATTTGGGTGAGTTCGTGGTGTGAAAAAATCATGCTTATGAGGTGACTGTGAACTCCATTCTTGACAAGTTTTGCCATTTGCTGTTTGTGCAGTCTTTCCACGGTAGTCTTTACCATTACCAGACCTGCAGTCTCCAAAGGAAGATAGAGAAGGATATGTCTTACACACAAGTCATAACCACACTATGCTTTTAAACTGGTTTCACAACCATTCCTTCTTGCCAAGAAATTTGAGATTCTACGGCCCTGGGCCGGATATCGCGTGGAGGAGGCGTGGCTGTTTGCCCCGGAGCGAAGTACCGCGCGGCAGCAGGATCAAACGTCCCGCCGAAGTCCCGTGGTTGGGGGGAGGTGCCGATCATAGTCACTCCTACGGCGTGACAAAGAAGCGGATCGGTGGGTTTTGTTTTTTTTTGTTTAACACAAGTGCTTGCATGCTCCGTTGGGTGCTTGTGCGCATTCCATGGAGACTTGGGGGAAAAAAACCTTTTCGCAATGGGACATGGGCAGGCACCCAATGCCACCGGAAACGTGATCAGACGTCTGCCCTTGCCCCGCAGTTTCCGGAAACTAGTACCTCGGAGGTACTAGTTTTTTACCCCGCATTTTTGGCGGGAAGCCTCTGGTGAGCCACGGGAGCTCTATGCTTCCCAGATGTGGCGCTGTGATCGCGCCCGGAAAATCCGCCTATCTTCCGTCCCTGTAGCATGGCTAATGCTCTGTGTGACCGCAGCCTACGTTCTGTTTTTTGGGTGGGGGGAATCCTGTAGTCCGTTTCTGCTTAGAAATGAGGAAAGATGAACACTTTTTAATGACTGAAAGCTGAAAATTTACAGAAGGGACCTGGAATACCCCCAAGGCATTCAAACCCCCTACAAGTTTTCCCACTATGGTGGATCCTGGCTATGTTGGTATTAAGCAACTGAGAAGATTATTGCCAACTCTGGGCTGGATATTCCTGGAGATTTGGGGGGGGGGGAACCTGGAAAGGCCAGGGTTTAGGTAGTAGAGGAACCTCAGTGGGGTATAATGCTATAGTAAGGTCCACCATGCAGAGTAACCATTTTCTCCAGGGGAACTGATTTCTGTGGTCTAGAGAGCAGTTGTAATTTCAGGTGATCTGTGTAGAGGTTTTCACTTGTATTTCCAGGAATAAGAGAAACGCTTGTTTGTTTGTTTTGTTAATGAAAATTAAACAGTCAGGAAGGGGGTTGGAATATCCATAAGACAGCCCACTCCCCACAGAGCATCTCTGACAATGGTCTGGTGTACATTGTGAATTAACATTTAAAGAACAGACTCCTCAATTTAAGTGCTTTCACCATGTATAATGTAGTGATCAATCACAAGGAGCCCTTCAGAAGTGTTACTAGTTGTTCTTTTTAACCCCACCTGCCTGACAGAAGGTCATTTTGACAAACAACTCCAAAGCCAACTTACCTGCTATTCTACTGCAGTAGCCAGCCAGGAATGAAGAAGAATCTTTTTTTATCTTCCTTCTCCTCCTCATGCACTTCAACATTGATAGAGGCACTCGGTGCACACTGGGAAATGTAGTTCCAAGTGTGACCAACAGTAGTGGCCTCAGTGACCGATAAAATAGGTGAGGCACCAAGGAAAGAGGAAAGGATGGAGACAGATTCTTCTTTACTTCTTCTTGGCTGGCTTGTTGGCCCAGCATTGCTGCTGTGAAGAAATGTACCCCCTCCAAGAGGTTTGAGATGAGCAAAGTCTCCCCTGTGCGTTTTAACAGGGTTTTCCCCCCCTCTGGGCAGACACCATGCTGGGAAGGAGGAAGTAGGTCAATGGCTTTCCAGGTTCACCTCAGCTACCTCTTAAGAGATACTAATGGGTCTAGCTAGAGACAATGAGATGGCCAAGCTCCCCCTTTCTCCCCACTTCCTCCTAACAGGGAACAGAGTTTTGGAAGACTTTAGGCTAGAACGGATCCAGGGATCATCTGCAGGAAGCAGCCCTACGAAATGCTTCTTTGACCCGGCATGACCTGGTCAGTGGGTGGAGAAACAGATATGATAAAACCTTCTTGCAACAGGAAGAAGTTCCCCCCCCCCGCATCAGTGCTGCATCCAGGAGCTCACACAGACCTTTCCACAGGCAAGGCAGCCTTTGACCATGTGCTGGCCTGAAGATCTAGAGGTAAAGGAACTCAATAGGGATCTGTAACATCCTAAGCAAAAGGAGCCTGTCCTATTTTAATATCAGATAGGGCATGTATAGAGAGAGGGGCACAGGATTTGTGTTTTTTCCAATTTCTTTTGGTTCCCTTGCTCAGTTTGGTGCTATGCTAAAAGTATGCTTGTAAACATTTTCTTTTTAATAAATACTTTATGACTTTAAGAAAATCCCCTACTCTGTAAGGTTCTGTGATTGTGATTCAGAGGAGATTGAAACAATCGAATATGTATTTCTCTATTGTAGTTTGTATGATGACATTCGGGAAGCCTATCTAGAAGATATTCTTAAGAATGATGCCAAGCAATCCGATGACAGAAGGTTGTATCGTTTATTGGCTTCACAAAATATAGCGGTGACTGAAGCGGTTGCCAAGTTCTGTGCCTTATAATGAGGAAGCTGTGTGTCAAATCCATGAACTGAATGGCGACTGTATGATTATGATCTATGCCAATAAAGGTTTTGAACTTGAACTTGAACTACTTTATGACTTTGGATGCTGACAGAGGTTGTCCATACCACACAGACCTCCACTGTCTCAGGCATGCTATTTTAAAAGGAGAACCAAGAGGAAGGAAGGCAGTTGGCCAGCAGCTATTCCTCCAGGGGTATACAAGGCCATAAACTGTCCCCATGGGGACCAGGTGCTGGGAAGCAGGAGACACAGAGGCAAGACTTCAGAACTTGGAAGGGAAGCTGGGAGTCCTGACCTTCCCAGCAGGCAGTTCCAAACAAAAGGTCAGGTGGTGGTGGTGGGTTACCCAAAAGTGGAAGAAAAGCCCTCCAGATGTGGAGAAACACCTAGGAGGGCAGGGTGGAATAGGCCTGTAGGCCAGAGCAGGCACGTTCTGCCACAGCTGCTATTACAGCAGAGTAGCTGCAGATGTTGGACAGAGGGAATGGGGATTCTTCTTTTGCATCCCAGCCAGAGAATAATCCTGGGAGCCAGAACACTAGCCTTTTGTTAACAGGCAGGTATTAAGTTTGTACTCTGAATCCAGAGAGAATGAATTTCAGTGACCTGAGTTCAAAAATTCAGGTCCATATCCTTTGAGCTTATTGCCTAAGGAATGCAGGACATGAGAAGAATTGTGAAAAGAATGTAATGATGAGAATATGGAACAAGAGAATAAAGAGAATAAAGATTCTCTTGGCAAGTCCTTCTGCTGGGTAGCTGATTGGTGGCTTGGGGGCAGGGCCTGGTGGTGGGGGACCCCCACCTCCACTGGGGGGGGTCTAGGAATCCTATGGCTTTGGCGGGGCCCAGAAACAACCCAGCAAGAACCTGGGAGGAGCCAGGCAGGGGAAGGCCTGGCTGTAGGCCTCCCAGGAACTGGCCAGTGAGAGAAAAGGGGGGGCAGTAAAGATGGAGAAGGAAATGGAGGGAAGAGGTGCTCCAACCCCTGGTCCAGATAATGGCTCAGACCATAGGGGCAGGGGCAGGAAGGTGGGGGCTGGGTCTTATTGGCAGGACAGGGAGGAAGCAAAAATGGTGGCTCCACAACCAGGCCAGGGCAGAGTAGAAAGGAGAAGTGTGCTGTATTTTGCTGTAGAAATTGAGTGCTGTAGACTCTGTGCCACCTCTTTCCTATTCTGAGGCCGGGGGGGGTGACCTAAAGCAGTACAATGGCTAAAGGCCAGAGGGTGGTACTGGTGAGGGAAGAGCCTCACAATTAGCAACGCTAATTATCACTAGTACATTCCTTATTTATTTCATCTGTCCTTTTCGCCTGGAACTTAAGACAACACAGATAAGACTCAAGGATGATTTTCCACTGAGGCACTGATCATCTTAGCTTCAGCAAAGTTGCTGCCTCATGATCCTTCAGGCCATGATGTGCTGATAGACATAAAGAATTCTGGGAATGTTCCAAAGCTGGAAACAACGAGATTTGATCAGGATGTTTACAACCTCAGCAAGATTATGAGCAGAATTAATTGAAGGGCTAATAGTGAAACCACTAAAAGGAAGAGTTGATCATACAGTCAGATCCTATGCATGGCACTCAGTTCATGAAAACCTGAAGAATCTTTGCAACCTTTGAAAGTTTTTGTTTGTGAAAGAAACAAGCTCTCCACTGAAAAACTGAAAGTAAACCAAAAAGATTAAACAATAATGAAGACTTAAAGAAGTTCATTCATGTAGAAATGTTCTGACACAAATAACATCCCCCTTTAAAAGTACAAAATACAGAAGAAAAATATACATCCTGTTCACCAGAAGAATATTTTATCAGATCTGCAGCTGATTTCATAATTACCAACTCTGAAGTCACAGCACTGTAAACACCTATCTCTTGATTTGGTGCCCTTATGCACAGGCCCTATAGAATTTAATGTACAATAAGAGATCACACATCATAAAATGTAACAGAGAAAATGATAACTGGCTGCAGATTTCTAAAGAACAGCTGGAAAACGAAAACCTAGTAAAGGATATAATTTCTCTGTTACTTTCTACAGTGTTTCAGAGCAATTATTAAAATTTCACTCTTTTTTATTTTGAATTCTGTAGCACTTCTGCATAAGGGGTTTACTTTTTGCTTGTTACCTGCATTTGGGGTAGAAGTCATACCAAGGTTTGGTGTCATTGTCGTCTGAAGTTGCTGCCTTTGATTGGTACATTTCTGTAGGTTACAGAACTCCCATCTGGTACTAGGATCAGTAGTGTAACACCAGGGGGCTTTATCACCGTCTGGATTTCTGCAGTAGTTCTTCCTCAGGTCTCTATAAACATAGATATAATGACACAGCACCATACAAGCAACTGTTGAAAATAACACCAGGGGGCTTTATCACCGTCTAGATTTCTGCAGTAGTTCCTCCTCAGGTCTCTATAAACATAGGTATAATGACACAGCACCATACAAGCAACTGTTGAAAATAACCTACTTGAAAATAGGAGTGGAGATGTTTAGTATACAGATAAACTGTCATTGAACAATTCCCCAATAAGGAACAATTTCCACCTCTGAAAACATGGTGTGAATCCATAGGAGCAGAGTGGTACTTCGTTATACTGTGGATGGATTGTGAACTATTGCTGCTCATGATATGTAATGGAACACAAGAAATGTAATGTATGGCATGTAAGTCAATATTTCAAAGAGAGCTCCCCCAACGTTCTGCAAGACATTGTCATCGAATTCAAAGAGCTACACATCAGAAACAAACTTTTAAAAATAGCTCGAGAAAAACAAGGTTTGCCCCTTGAAGACACATGCGTGTTTTTGTATGCTGACATCCTCCCAGAGATGCTGATTGCGAGACAAAGAATGCGTGAAACTGCAAAGACATTGTGAGAAAAGGAAATACCATATAGATGGCTAGCACTTGGCCATTTAGTGGTTAATTTAAATAACAAAACATTTATAGCACATAATTTGATGACAGGTAAAAAACTTATCAAGGCTGTTACTAAATTGAAAGAAGGAGGTGTGTGAAGGGAACAATATACTCTGGTGTGGATAGTTAGGCTACAGTGTAAGTAGGGGAAAACAATTGAAAGTAAGATTTATTAGTAAAAGAGTAGACTTGAACTCTAAACATGTTTAAGTAAGAATAGTTATCTGTGTGCATTGTTCGATTAGAGGGTTAGAGTCTTCAGTGTTATAATAGGGTACAATGGCTAAAGGCCAGAGGGTGGACTTTCAAAAGGCTTTTGACAAGGTATCTCTCCAAAGGCTCTTGGGTAAATTTAGCAGTCATGGGTTAAGAGGATGGGTTCTTGTATGGATTAAAAATAGGTTAAATGACAGAAGCAAAGATTAGAGATAAACAGAAAGTTCTCACAATAGAGGGAAGTAAACAGTGGGGTCCCACAAGGATCAGTACTGGGGCCAGTACTATTAGATTATTTCATAAATGCTCTGGAATTAAGGGTAAGTAGTGTGGCTGCCAAGTTTGCAGATGACACAAAATTATTCAGGATGGTGATAGCTAAGGATGACTATGAAGAGCTCCAGGAAGATGTCCACAAATTGGGTGAGTGGGTGACAATGTGGTAAATGAAGTTCAGCGCTGGTGAATGTAAAGTGATGCACACTGGGAGGGGGAATCCAATTTCAAGTATAAGTTAATGAGGTCTGAACTTGCTGAGAGTGAAAAAGATTTTGGGGTCATAGCTCAATGAAAGTGTCAGCCCAGTGTGCTGCAGCAATGAAAAAGGCAAACCCTGTGTTAGGGATTATTAAGAAAGGGATTGAAACACTTAAATACTTATTTAGATAACTAGCAAGGATAAAATTCAGATTTAGATAAACAATTAAGACAATATTTAGGTTTTTAGTATAGAAGTCTGTTCAACTGTTAAAGATGTATTCTTTTTTATCATTAATATAATATCGCTAATTTTAGGAGAGTTTTTGTTTATTCTTTAAAAAGAGAATCTAACTCAAAATTCGGTAATATTGGTGCTTTATTAATTGTTTCTATATTTGAATTATGTAATACATTTGGTAATACAATTCATAATATTTAACAATGAATCTATACTTTCCCCCTCCCCTTCTTCCCTTCTGTATCCCACCTTTTTTTCTTGAGAAAATAATAAAAATAATTTTAAAAGAAAGAGATTGAAATAAAACAGCTGATATTATAATGTTCCTGTATAGATCTATGATGTGGCCTCATTTGGAATACTGTATACACTGTATCTCAAAAAGGACATTGTAGAGATGGAAAAAGTACAGAAGAGGGCTACCAAGATGATTAGAGGTTGGGACACCTTTCTATGAGGAAAGGCTTTTCAGCCTTTTCAGTGTCAAAAAGAGACAACTAAGGGTGGGCATGAGAGAGTTTTATAAAATTATGGCTGGGGTAGAAAGAGTTGACAAAGAGAACTGTTTCTCCTCACTTCAAAAAGGATGTGGACAAAACCGAGAGGGTGCAGAAGACAGCAGCGAGGATGATCAGGGGTCTGGAGACTGAGCCGTACGAGGAAAGGCTAAGGGCCCTGGGGATGTTTAGTTTGGAGAAGAGGAGATTGAGGGGGGACATGATTGCTCTCTTTAAATATCTGAAAGGCTATCATTTGGAGGAGGGAAAGGAGCTGTTCCAATTGGCAGCAGAGGATAGGACCCGAAGCAACGGGTTTAAATTACATGCAGAAAGGTATCGGCTGGATAGTAGGAAAAACTTTTTCATGGTCAGAGTGGTTCAAAGGTGGAATCAGCTGCCTAGGAGGTGGTTAGCTCCCCTTCACTGACAGCTTTCAAGAAGAGGCTAGATGAATATTTGTCAGAGATGCTTTAGGTTGGTCCTGCATTGGGCAGGGGGTTGGCCTAGATGGTCTGTAGGGTCCCTTCCAACTCTATGATTCTATGATCCTCTGCCCAAAATACTGGAACTTGAGAACATCCAATGAAGCGGATGGGTAGAAGATTCAGGATGGACAAAAGGAAATACTTATTTCCTTATTAAGTGATTAAACTGTGGAATTCGCTGCCAGAGGATGTAGCAATGGCCACAGGCATAGACAGCTTTAAAAGGGGGTTAGTTAGATTCATGGAAGATAGGTCTATCAATGGCTACTAGCCATGATGACTAAAGAGAACCTCCATGCAGAGGCAGTCAATCTCTGAATCCCAGAGCCAGGAGGCAACATAAGAAGGAGAAGAAGAAGAGGAGGAGGAGGAGAGTGGATTTATACCCCACCCTTCACTCGGAGTCTCAGAGTGGCTTACAAACTCCTTTCCCTTCCCCTCCCCACAACAGACACCCTATGAGGTAGGTGGGGCTGAGAGAGCTCTAACAGAAACTGCTCTTTTTCAAGAACAGCTCTGACAGAACTATGGCTTGCCCAAGGTCATCCAGCAGCTGCAAGTGGAGGAGTGGGTAATCAAACCTGGTTCTCCCAGATTAAAGTCCGTGCATTTACCCACTACACCAAACTGGCCTCGGCTTCTGTACCCTGTTGTTGGCCATCCAGAGGAACTGGTTGGCCACTGTGTGAAACAGGATGCTGGACTAGATAGACCAATTGATTGATCCCTCAGGAGTCTTATAATGTTCTTATGGTATGGCATTTTAGGAGTAAGTTGTATTATTCAAAATAATGTTTATACAAATTTGCAATTAGGGGAATCATTCCTATGATTTAAAAACATTACACAGACACTGAACCATGGATTCTTAAGTATGATTACAAATCCTGTCCATTGAGCCCCATACATTTTCAGATCCTCAACACAATTTGGTTTGTTCCAGCAAAGCTCTTGTTATGTTCTTACTTTCCTCAAAATAATGGCTTGGTCAGTAATTGTCAATCCTGTCCCAAAAGGAAACAGGTACTGTCATCTGCAAGATCTGTCTTATATTTTTAATTGTATTGCAAAAGAATAATTAGTGCTTGGAACAAAGACATCAGCTTTGTGGGTTATCGTAACTGTTGCATGAGGTTTAGCAAATGTCCAAATGTCCAGTGTCCCAACAACAAGTATCAGATATGAAGATACAATTATTCCAAGCATTCAGTTGAGCTTTGTTAAAGGTGGGACTCTTGCCAAGATAAGCTTATTTCACATTGCTGATACGAAACCACTACTATTTACTCTCCCCACGGAAAATCCCTGTAAACTACTTATGAAGAAGGGTAAGGCAAACATACGCTTGTGGGAATTCCAATGGGGTTTTAGTGTGACGATGAGGCCTCATAGAGCTCCATGCCTGACACTTCTTTCCTGTGATGGTTGATGACATTGTGCCCCGGTAATGTTCACCATTGCCTTCATAGCAGTCTTCAATGGCTGCAGATTGCTCAGGAAGAACAACAGGAACTATTTCTATATTAAAATGAAACAAAAAAAACAACAACAACACACACACACAAATGTAGAACTAAGTAAAAAGACAACGCCCCATTTTCCTGGGGGCATCTTCTTTGTCTCCAGACATTCTATGGCTTTTCTTATTAATACCCTGATTCTATAGAATTATAGTGCAGTAGTACCATAAACAGGGATGGGCATGAACCAGGAAAATGTGGTTCATGGCATGCCTGGTTCACAAACCAAATTGTCACGAACTTTTAAGCCGCCAAATAAACTGGTTCCGTTCATGAGGTACATGACACATTAGAATGCTCCCTCACATCCTAGAGACACAAACTCACAGGAGATCTATGGCTGACTCTTCTCTACCTGCCTTCCAAGTTTGGTGAGGATTGGATTTACAGGGTTTGAATTATGCCCCCCTCCCAAAGAAGATGCCCCCAGGAAAGTGCCTTCTGGGGAAACAACAGGTGGTCATTCTGACAGACGCAGGTTCAGGAATGTATAGAATAGATCCTGTGCAAGCTAGAGACATCAAAGCTGCAGAGAACTTCCCATGGATGCTCCTATACAAGCCCTCTAAGTCCCCCCCATTGCTTTGAAGTTTGGTAAACATTTAGATTGAGCAGAGACAGTCTGTCTAGAAACGTATCCATTCACAAACCAGCACAAACCACCATAAACTGCTTGAAAGTTTGTGGAAACTTTGTGCCAGTTGACCTGCCATGAACTTGAGTTTGCAAACAATGAACCGGCTAAAATTCATCACGAACTTTAATTTGTGAGCTGGTTTGTGCCCATCCCTAAACATAAACATTGAGAAGTGTTCTGAAATAACACAGGGTCAAAATAAATGGTGTGGACACATCCAATGCAACTGCATCTTTTCTCAGTGCATGCTGTCCTTCCCACAGCTGATAGCGGATAGATGACATGCTTTAAGTTTCTGTGACAATACAGTATTTAGTAGGACAACTCAATCCAAATTTATTTATTATTCTGATTTTGCATCTGGGTTGTCAATATAATGCAAGGTGGCTATCTTAAGCAGAATAGTAAATTTGCCTTGAGAGATAAGACACTTTTGCTTTTGATTTACTATAATTCTGACTATCCTTTGTTCACATAAGAACAATTTACAAATGCAGTAAATACAAAACACCTAATAAAATGTAATACATAAAACCCTACATCTGCTTTGATTCCAGATATTAAAGCTGGAGGATTGATCTTGTTACCTAAACTGTTTGTTTAAATCTCAGAATGGTTCATTCTCTTCCCACATCACAGATGCACGCATGCAGTTTTTCTTACCAGTAGCTGCTGCTGTGCTATGACAATTAGGAATATTGCAGTATTCCCATCGTTTGTTGGGGTTTGCGGTGTAGCACCAAGGTGAGGTCTCTCCGTCAGGGTTTCTACAATAATTTTCATCTAAAGCTCTAAAACAGAAATAAAACTACTTACATTCAAACACTTCCTTGATGTTCAAACTGTTTTTAATGGTCTCAATAACAAACTAAAATACACTGTCATGTGCTATCTATTTTGATGATTGATGAGTCAGGTGCAGTGGTTAGAATGTCGGACTTGGAACTGGGATGACCAGGTTCAAATCTGTCACTCAATCATGGAAGCCCATCACAATCTTTCAGCCTAACCTACCCTCACAAGATTGTTGTGAGCATTAAGTGCAGGAGAGGGGAATGATGCAAAAAGCCATTTGAGGCCTCAATCAGAGATAAAAAATGGGAGATAAATAAAAAATAAGCATAAGTGTCACGATTGGTGTCACTCCCTGGCTCTGAATATCCCATAGCCGTGGTGAGACTCGTCCGGACTCAGAAACAAACACCTCAGAAATTGAACGTGCTGGGTGTTTGCGCCACACGCCAGCTACCATTTCCAGCCAAATCATCTCTCTCTCACCCGTTCTCTCTCTGGGTTGTCACGATTTGCCGGATTCCTCCCCGGTGTTTCTGTTTCTTTCTTTTTATTGCAATGTTACATTCATCACCCTTCCCCATGTGCTCCCCATCAACCTAGTTCCCCAATCTGCTCTCCTCGTCCCACGTGTGTTCCCAATCTCAGTGTTCTACCCTTAGTGCTCTCGCCTTCGTTAACTCCTGGAGCCTCAGGTTGCGGGGAAGTATCTACCCGGCTGGCACCCATATTGAAGGGTAAGATTCCTCGGTCTCTCACCAGAGCGCGTCCTTTCCTGCCTGGCAGGGGTTTCTGACCACTGCCTTCCTGGTCCCCAAATATGCCTCCCGAACCCCGTTCCTCGTTGGGCAGCTTCAAAGAACTCGGCGCGTATGTGTGTATGTGTGTATTTATCAGTCCATCCATTCATCTTTATCCTGCCGTGGCTCCAAGGAGCTCAGGGAAACATATGTACTTCTCTCGCTTCCCTCCCCCACAACAAACATGGTGACTGGACCAAAGTCACTGAGATAGCTTTAAGACTAAGTGGACCTCAATCCCATGTCTCCCCAGTCTTAGTCCAACACTTTAACTGCTACATGACACTGATTTTCCAGCCACTGACACACGAGATGTGTAGTAATAGTAGTAAGTTTATTGTATATGGCCATTGGCTGTTACAATATAAAATATAAATACACAATATAAATTTAGGGTTCAAAAGTACTGTTCTAAAAACATTGGTGCAAGTCCCGGGTATTTGCAAAAGATCTGGATGAGTTGTCAGGCACAGAGTACCATGAGATGATGATGTTATAAAACTCAATGTGAGTTTTATCATTACTTAGTAAATCTAAGTAGCTGATTTTGCTACATGTTTCATTTGGAAGCTGTTGAAATTTCGGCATTGATTTCAAGATTGCTAAGTGCACTCGGGCCCTTAGTGATCGAATACCTGTTTCTGCCCTCATTAATGACGCAGGCGAACCCTTGGGCAGCGCCAATAACCACCTCAGGAAAAGATTTTACACTGTCTCCAGGCTGGTCAATATTTGCTCCTTCCAACACCAAAGTTCTATTCTGTACAACAGATGAGATACTACTTTGGTGATAAAGAGCTTAACAGCTGGATCTATTAAAAAGCCCCCTTTAGTCGATAAAATCTCAAAATTACTCCCAGTAACAATTCAATGTTTTGCTAAATGTTAGACCCAAATATTTGTACATCTTACATTGTTCTATTGGGACACCTTGGATATTCCATACATGTTTTTTGGGTCTTTTACAGAATACCACCACCTTGGTTTTGGAGTAATTAATAGATAGCCTCTCCTCCTTACAATAATCTCCCAAACTATATAAGATTCTCTTTAGACCAATTCTTGTTAGAGAGAATAGAACCATGTTGTCTGCATAAAGCAGTAATGATATTTTTTGTTGACCCAACTTAGGGTGGTACAAAGTCTGGACTGCTTAGTATGGGGACAATGTCATTTATATATAAGTTTAAAAGTGTAGGAGCTAGTACACAGCCCTGCTTTACTCCCTTTCCCATTGGAATTTCTCTGCTTAGAGAGCCAGAGGTGCCTACTCTTATCCTTGCATAGGTATCTTGGTGAAGTTCTCTCAGTAAGTACAGCAACCTCTTATCTATGTTGGTCTTCAACAGCTTAGCCCAAAGTCTCTCTCTAGCAATTGAATCGAAGGCCGATGCCAGATTGACAAACACTGCATGCAGAGCTTTAGTAGGGCCCAACATTGCTGATTTGGCCAGTTGGTAAAGGGTATAGCAGTGGTTTATTGTCCCTAGGCCTTTCCTAAAACCTACTTGATGAGGATGTATAAAACTATTGTCGAGGATCCAGTCCTCTAATTTCGTCAGCAGGTACTTCCCATATAGTTTGGACGTCATGTCTCAGAGGCTTATAGGACGATAGTTTTAGGGGGATGACCTGTCCCCCTTTTAATGAATAGGGACCACAATACTATGTTTCCACCCTAAAGGGAATGTGCCTGAATTGTTGATTTGGGTAAATAGCTTGGTCAGTACCAGGATCCACCATCCAGGGAAGGACCTGATGAGGTCAGTTGGAATCAAGGAGGTCAGTTGGAATCAAGTCCTGCCCTGGGGATTTCCCAGGGACTAGGGTAGAAATAAGACTTTCAATTTCAGAAACTGTTACTGAGGGCCATTCAGGTAAAGGTTCCCAGTCAACAGCGGTAACACAGACATGTGTAACATAATTCTCTGAGAAACAAATTTTGAGTCCAGTGGCACCTTTAAGACCACCAAAGGTTTATTCAAGGTATGTGTGCATGCACACTTTTTCAAATACACTGGAATGGAAGGTAACACTTCAAAGTTATCGACAGGCTGAACAGCAAATTAGCATGTAACATGATGAAGATGTTTTAAGATATGCAAAGACAAAATAACAAGCTAAGGTTATAAGGTCAACTGTTGTTTTGATTTAATTAAGGGGGCAAAACAGTGAGGCAATAAATATGTCAAAATAGGGAGATAAATCTGTGAGGTATCCTTTCAAATTGTGGGAAGTAAACTGCTATGTTTTCAGGTTGACCCTCGTATCTACTTTAAGGGGTTTGTGGAAAGATACCACATACATTTAGCAGCAGTAGTAGTACCAGCAGCAGTATTGTTCCACTTGCAGACAGAGATCATAAAGTTTTTGCAAAGTTCAGAATACCACTCTCCATTCTAAGTTCAAATACCAACACACATCAGCTTTTTGGTGGGAAAGGCAGAACATATACAAAACAACACTGCAGCTGCATCCAAACATTAATGGCTATTGCTCTATCATTGCAACTGGATTTTCTAGACAATCCAGTTGTGAATGACTGCTTTAGAACAATAATAGTGCAATATCCAACAGTGTGTGGAGGCAGCCTGTAATTTGACAGCTCCTTTGATATTAAAATGAAAGGTGGTTAGTGCATTTGCAACATAATTCAGTGGTTGATGAGAACACCTGTGCAACGTCTCTCCCACTGCGGAAAAGAAATACATAATGGGCTGTAATGGGGTGTTTGAAACTAGGCCTCTCATAGGTTGTACCGTGTTAGTTACCGCACACAGTATTCAACAAGACTCAAAGTATAAGGTGTCTGTTTAACTTACTTGCAAGGATAGTTCTCAGGAGTCCTACTATGTTTGTGGGGTTCCTGGGCACTCCAGGGTTGGCATGCAGTTCCTGATACTGTGACAGATACTGTGCCTCGGTAGTCCTCCCCATTTTTCACAAGGCAATGACGCCCAGGGCCAGATGTTGGTGGGGGCGTAGCTATATCAGAAAAGAGAAAAGCAAAGGAAACCAGCCTCTTCAGAAAACATAAAATGATACAGCAAAAATATGTCCTCAGTAGAACTTCATTCTTAACTTGTTCTGTACCCGTTAGGCTATCAAAAAGCTACTTTAAGCTTTAAGAAGCAAAATGACATTCCCTTAAGCTGTAGGGCAATGTTTCCCCGAAAATAAGACCTACCCCAAAAATAAGCCCTAGCAGGATTTCTATGCATTTGTGGTATAAGCTCTAGTGTGTCTTCTTGAGAAAAAATGAATATAAAACAGTGTCTTATTTTCGGGGAAACACGGTTATAGTTTTCAGAGAAAACTCGTTCTCTTAAAAGACATGGCTTCACCACAGCAAATTGCAATGAATAATCCAAATTATTCATTTATTTATTTATTTATTAAATTTGATTTACTGGTCCGCCCTTCCCTACAAGCAGGGATCAGGGTGGCTTACAACAGAATAGTATACCAAAAAAAAGAAGAAGTCAAACTTACCGCAACGTGGAATATTACAAAATTCCCAGCGTTTAGTCACACTGGTGGTGAAACACCAAGGACGAGGCTCCCCATCAGGATTACGGCAATAATTCTTCCTCAGATTCTTTTCTGGAAAACTGAACATTACATTTCAAAGCTGAAACTTCTCTCCACTGATGTTCATGCCCACTCAAGTAAAAACTGGAGTTGCACATTCCTAAAACGTGCCTAAGTGGGTGGATTTCATGCACATCATGTCCCCAGAACATAAAGAGTTGCATGCTCAAAGGACTCTTGCACAGCTTCCATTTGTTTGAATGACATGACTCACTTTGAAGGGTAATATCCATGACTGTGAGGTTCTTGAGAATCCCAGGCCTGGCATTCAATTCCAGATTCTGTTTGGGAGACTTTGCCTCGATAGTTTTCCCCACTGCAGTGCATACACAGGTCTGTCAACAAAAGCATTTTTAGTCATACAATTAGTTCTGTTCAGCTTATTATTTGTGCTATGAGCTATAGGCAGGGTGGATCCTCATCCTTCTTGCTGCCACAAATGATGTACTATACAAAGAACCAGTGACTAGCATTATATGGGCACGGCAGCTTCTGGAAAATGAATTGTTCAGTTCATATCAGCACTGCATCAATGGATATACCCAAGCTAAATCAAAGGAAATGTAGAGATTCCTATTGTCCTCCTGCATTTTTAAGGTATGCTATGCATCCAGGGAGTTAAGTACAAATATGTTGTTCATGGGTACCTGTACAAAACCTTTTGTATTATGGAACTGTTCTACTTCTATGCTTTTTTTAACCATGTGTTTTGTGTAATTGGGTTTTCTGATGTGGATATTTTATTACTGTAGTTGTCCTTCAGCCTCTGATTCATGTCTCTGGTTAGCCAACCCCCCACCCACCCCATCCCAGAATGTTCTAAAGTGGGACAACGTAGAATTCCAAGGAAATTCCGAGGTCGAATTATGGTACATAGAAGCTAATGTTTTCTAGGAGTGTAGTATGTACACGCTAGAGTTTTTCGAGCATTAGATTAAAATCATTTATGCAGCACAATTGGTGGCTAGAGTGAACATTTTGATTTCTCGCTTTCTTACAGTTTTCATTTCTAACCACACATCACTGTCAATATTCTGAAAGAATTCGGACATTTGCAAAAAGCAAAATAAAAACTCAATCCTGATCTAAAATCATGTTCAACAGGTTATGTTCTATCATCACTATTTTCAATAAGAGCATGATTATGAAATCAGCAAAACTGAGCAGTTTTTACATATTTAAATGATTTCCCAGGTATGCAGAAGGACATGACATTGTAAATTAATGTAAGGGAAAACTAAAAAGAAAACCTTCTACAATAAGGCCTGATGAGGATTGAGTATGAGGATTGAGCATGAAATGTTGAGAGTCAGTAAAAGATGGCAGGGTGGGAGGGGAGGCTGCTCAAGCTCTTGAGAACTTATACAGTCCTGGAGAACAGAATTATGTGTATGACACTGCAGCTGGGAAGTGAAACTGGACAGCAAGTTTGCTTAGCTGTATATACAGCTCATACTTAATATCCAGACTCGCACCTCAGGATAATATTGCCCTAAAGAACAGTAGTACATTTAATATCTTGCCAAAAAGATTTGGTTGGAAACATTTAATGCAAAGTTGATTAGACTGATCACTGGAAGTCACATAGATCAAGATTCAATCCAATGAGATGTCTAAAAGGAGAAAAAAAACCAATTCAATGACCAAACCCAATTACATCAGAGTTTGAGACCATCATTTGAATCATGGTCTCCTAAATCCTAGTCTGATGCTGTAACCGACACAGGCCCATTTTTTAAGCCAATAGTTTTCAATACTATTTAGAGACAGTTGGGCAGGGGTCATTTCGTAGAAAAAGAGCTAGGGGGACTCATTAGCATAACTCATTAGCATATGCCACACCCCCTGACATCACCGGAAGTGTGTCCTCCCCACAGCCGGCGGCGACCTCCAGCGGGCACCAGCAGGGAGCTCCAGGCCCCAACCTCCCGCACCTCACCCGGGGGGATGGCGTCCCCCCGCGTCCCCCCACAAATGACCCCTGCAGTTGGGTAAAAAAGACTGAAGGATGAAAAGAGATCCCCATGGAAACATTTAATAAACAAAATGGTACGACAATTCATTGTGCATAGGAATACATGGAAGCCTAAAGAAGAGAACAGGCTTATCTAGAGATGGTAGTAGGTAAGGCACAGCTTCTGGGCTGCTGGTTGACATGGACAGAGGCATTTAGAGGCATCTGGCTGCATTGGATGAGTACAAATCCCCTGGGCCAGATCATGTGTACCTGAGAGTGCTCAAAGAACTTTCTAGAGAGCTTGCAGAGCCTTTGTCCATCTTCTAGTAGTGTGTGTGAACAAGATCTTGGGTATGGGTGGACTATAAGCTAAATATGAGCAGACAGTGTGATCCAACAGCAAAAAAGGCTAATGCAGTCTTGGGGTATATCAACAGAGGCATAACATTTAAATTGCAAGATGTCATAGTCCCACTGTACACTGCATTGGTCAGGCCACACCTGGAGTACTGTGTGCAATCCCGACAGCCTCATTTCAAAAAGGATGAGGACAGAATGAAGTGGGTGCAGAACAGAGGGAGAAAGACGAGCAAGGGCCTGGAGACCAAGCCCTATGAGGAAATGCTGAGGGATCTGGGAATGTTCAGTCTGGAGAAGAGGAGGTTAAAAGGGGGTATGATTGTTCTCTTTAAAAGAGGGCAGAAAGGTGCTCCTGATGGCAGCAGAGGATAGGACTCACAATAATGGGTTTAAATTACAGGCAGAAAGATACCAGCTGGATACTGGGGGGGGGTGTTTTTTACACCAAGAGTAGTTCAGCAGTGGAACTCACTGCCTAGAGAGATAGTCAGCTCCCCCTCTTCAAACAGCAACAGGACAAATACTTGTCAGGAATGCTTTACGCTGATCCTGCATTAAGCAGGGGGTCAGACTAGATGACCTGTACGGCTCCTTGCAGCTCTATGATTCTATGGTCCTTACTTGGAGACCTGGCCAAGAAAGGCCTGCTATATTATTTACTTATTTATTTAATTTAGGATTTTTTATGCCATGTCATTTTCTTGAGGTGACTTTGAAACAATGTAACAATATTAAAAGAAAGCCATGAAAAACAAGCCACTGAACATAAACAGCGTAAACACTATCCATAATACAGAAGGAGACTATTAAAAGGCTGGAAAGATAATAACCCCAAATTAATAGTCCGGGTAAAAATATGTGTTTTGGCCTGCCACTTAAAAGAATGTAAAGTAGGCATCAAGTGAGTCTCAGGGGGAAGGGCACTGGAGAGGAGAGGTGCCACCACAGAAAATGCCCTCCCTGTAGTTGCCACTGACCTCACAGAAAGCAGAGCTTGATAGTCAGATTATCAATGGCAAGCTGGCCAGTACAGGCAGATATGGCCCCAAGCAATTTGTTTGTTTGTACAAGCAATCTGTACCCCACCTTTCTCACCAATGGGGTCCAAAACAGCTTACATCTTTCTCCTCTACTCCAATTTATCTTCACAACAACCTTGTGAGGTAGGTTGGGCTGAGCAAGTGTAACTGGCCCAAGGTCACCCAGCAAGCTTCCATGGCATGAGTAGGGATTTCAACCTAGGGTCTTAAATGTTAGACCCAGAACTTTTAATTGTTCCTGGAAACAAATGAGTAACTAGTGCAAATCTTTCAACACAAGGGTGATACAATCCCTGTAACCATTCCCTGACAATAGTCTGGCATTATATTTTGGATCAATTGAACTTTCCAGGCTGTTTTCAAAGGCAGCCCCATATACAATGTATTACAATAATCTAATGTGAATGTCTTCATGGCCAGATCACGCTTTTCAAGGGATGGTCATAGCTAGAGCTGGTAGAAGGTGTGACGTACTACCAGCCTCCAACTGTATGCCAGAACCCAGTAGAACCCCAAGCTCTGAACCTGCTCCTTCTCTGCAGTCTCCAAGCAGTTTCTCCATTGGCCAGTAGCACTTCAGGCTGGACTGAGCTGGGATTGATATCATGTTATTATGAAATGGGGTCTTTTCCTAGAAAAAGAGCGGCAGGAGCTCATTAACATATGGTATGCTAATGAGCTACTAGGCTATTAGCATAATAGCTCATTAGCATATGCAACGCCCCCTGACATCACTGGAAATGATGTCAGAAGGGGAAGCAAAAGGGGGGGAAGGCATATTCAAAAGCCTCCCCTTCCCTTCCCTTGGGGGGGTGGGACGAAGAGAGATGGGGTTTAAACCCCTTCTGACTAGAGTTGGGCCGCAGAAGGAGGAAAGAGGGAAGGAAAGAGAGAGACAGAGTGTAGAGAGAAGGAACAAAGGAATGAAAGAGTGAAAGAGAAGGAAAGAAGGAACAAAAGAGGAAAAGAAAGAGAAGGAAAGAAGGAGGGAAAGAAAGAAGGAGGGAAAGAAAGAAAGAGCGAGAAGGGAAGGAGGGAAAGAGGTAAAGCGAGAGAAAGAAGAAGGAAAAGAGAGGAAGAAAGAAAAGGGAAAGATTTAAAGAAAAGGAGGGAAAGAAAAGGAAAGGGGAAGGAAAGGAGGGAAAGAAAGAGGGCAAAGAGATGGGAAGAAGGGGGAGGCTCTCCCCCCCAACCACCCCAATCAAGCCTCCGCCACCCTCCACAGATCTCTCACTTACCCTGGGAGGCGGCGGGGGCCCTCTTCTGGCCTCCACGTACCCCAGGAGGAGGCGGGGGGCCCTCTTCTGGCCTCCCACGAGCCGCAGCGCTCCGATGCTGGCCCTGGGTGGCGGTGGGGGGCCCTCTTCTGACTTCCCACGGGCCGCAGCGCTCTGACGCTGGCCTGGGGAGGCTGCGGGGGGCTCTTCTGCCCTCCCAAGGGCTGCAGCGCTCCGGCGCTGGCCCAGGGACGCAGTGGGGGGCCTCTTCTGGCCTCCGACGGGCCGCAGCACTCCGGCGCTGGCTCAGGCAGGTGGCGGGGAGGCCTCTTCTGCCCTCTGACAGGCTGCAGCGCTCCGGTGCTAGCCCAGGGAGGTGGCAGGGGGCCTCAGCGTGGGGAGCTGGGGGCGGGGCTTGCTGCCACCGCTATTTGTTCCAGTGCCTGGGCTCCCAGAGCGGCGCTCTGGTGCGCTCCGGCCTCAAAAGACCCCTGATTATGAATCATGGGACATTGTAAGTGATGAAAATGTTTTTCTTTCTTATCCTGTCCTTATATATAAACATGTTTTCGCATGGCAAAATTCTATGCTTCCCAAAATCAGTTGGCTGCCTGAACTGCCCATCAGAAGGTGTGCCTGAGTCCTGCCCACAGAGCCAGCTCCCGCCAAAACTCCAATCTGAACAGTTTACTTCAGCAGCCAAGCAGCCATTTGCCTGACCAGTGTTCTTCAGCCTTCAGGAGAAGATCAGCGGAGGAGCAGCCGCGGCCGTTTGCCTGCCGACCATTCTTTAGCCCTTGGGAGAGCCTTGCAGCAGGTATGGCCCATCTTCCCCCCCAGCTAGAGTCTGAGGTGAGCCGATGGGGCCTGCCTGGGAGGGGAGGGCTGTGGCCGGCCTACCTGGGTCGGAGGGACCTGTCTGGGGGGTGGGGTTGGGAGGCCTGCAGCAGCCTACCTGGGCCGGCGGGGCCTGTGGGGGGGGAGGCCCACGGCTCGCCCACCTGTTTCCCTGAAACCATCCTGCCCTAAACTATGTTGCTGGAAAACATTCCTCAGCCACACTTCTCTACCATAAATGACAACTTTCAAACATATAGACATTTCACAACACTCCTTTCCAAAGACTCCTCCTTCTCATTCCCACGTAACCTACTGAGATAATGACCACTCACTTTCAATCCATTTTCCCTTGAGACCTCTGCTCTAACAGAGTGGACAGTGCGACCACAACCACACTGAATAACACGGACATCCAACATAAAATGACTTTGCAGACTGCCCCATTGTTGACACTACTCCACAGACCCCTGTGTGCAACATTTTCTGGCCCACATTGTGTGACCTTGGGCAATGGCTATTGTGTAACATAAGGTATGTGAGACTTTACTTCCACATTTGTATCTTACACTTACAGACTGCTAATATTTACTTTACCTCCTTCCAGCCTATGCATTTGTTACACATCACATCTTTCTAGAGCTTGTTGTATTGCTTTCACATTGGGCTTTACTGCTAGTTAAAAATATTACCAGATGGGTGCTAGTTAAAAATATTACCAGATGGGTACTTAAATAGTCATGCAAAACTAAAATTCTGGTGATTGCAACCTCAGCCATACCTTCACATTCTGTGATGTTACAATAATCATATCTGGTTCCACGGTCTGTTGTGTAGCACCAGGGACCTTTCTCATCATTATCAGGATTTCTGCAGTAGTTTTCTTCTAATCCAGCGTCAGGATAAGTATCAGGTGAATAACTGAAAGGGGGAGTGGAGAAGGCAAAGTCAGAATTTTATTACAGGTCACACATTTCCCCAGGGTTTTCAAGTGTATATAAGTAAACATGTCCATTATATAATGCGGTCCATATCCAGATAAATTTACTGCTGATTAAATGCTGTTTCTACTGAAACTAGTGGAAGAAATTCTAGTCATAACCAATGTTCCCTCTAAGCTGTGGAGTCTTGTGAGCAAAAATTCTACTTTGTGCGCTATTGGCTTTATAGTTGTGAGCGAGCGATTTGGCTACTGCATGAATTAGTTTGCTCTGGAGCTGTCTTTCCTGAGCTAAGACAAAAATGTGTGAGCTGGAGGCTAAAAAACTGAGCTAGCTCACACTAACTCAGCTTAGAGGGAACACTGGTCATAACTGACTCAAATCCCTTTGCTTTTAATGGGACTTTAGTCACAATTAACTTTACCACTAAGCTATGGCACCTCTCAGTCCAGGTTGAGCATATATTTTGCATGCAGTTCAATCACCAGCAGTTAAGTGACTGTTCCCATCTGACCCTTTCCTTTTTGTCTGTTCTCAAGCAGCTCTGGTGAAGGTCCAGCTACACGTGATGTCTTCCTTGGCTCCTTTGTGGGTTTGCCCAATCAAATGTGTATTGCATATTCTCAGGCACACATTGTCCTGATTTGGTTCAGGACCAGAGCGTGTGAGGAATGGAAACTTAAGCTTCCCCCTCATGCTTTTTTCTTATCTAAAATGGATCGGAAGGCACTATTTTCCTTGCTGGGGAAACATAGGTGTACCCAATTAGTACATGCAGAACGCCTTTAAAAAAGTATTCTCTTAGGGAATACAAACTAGGCAATGATTAAATGTTAAGAAGTGGCTAATAGCCCGTGCGTGGCAGATAGGAGTGTGCATTTGGGTATATTCGAGCTGAAAAAACACCCCCAAAATACCTTACCATTATTTTTCATGTATTTTTCAGCCAAATACACATCAGAGAATCTGATTGGCTATCCTGCATCGCCAATCCCAAACACCCCCCCACACACATTTTTCTGGTTTTTTTTGGGGGGGGGGGATATCCAGGAATGCAAAAAGGAATGCCAAATAGCAGCAGTTAAGGGGCTGCAGAGTTGCCCTCTACCCTTTCCCCACCTTTTACACTGGTTTCCAGGAAAACAGGAGGGGGGAGGTGAGGCATCTCTACAAGGAAATGGTAAATCACCTTAGGAGGAGCTGTAATGCTTTTTGGCCAATCACTACAGTGGTTTTGCAAGGTTGTTGGCTTCAAATGTAGAGTCCAACAACTTTGTTTCCCCTCCCCCCATACCAGGTTTCCCAGGGAACAGGAGGGAGGAGGAAAGGAGCAGTGGCAAACAGGATGGCATGTTAGGGGCAGCAGTGTTCTTTGCCCACTCAAATAATTGTTTCATGGCTGTTTTCCCTCCAAATTCTTCTAAGCATAGGCAAAGAGCATAAAAGCAGGGCTTGGCTGAGCTAGACTCCATTTCAGAGAGAGGTTTGGCGAATATACAGTGCTGGCTTTGACTACATCGGCTGCTGCTCTGAGCTTGGACTCCTGCTGCTGCCTGTGAGAGTGACTCTGCTGTGGAGTTTTGGATCCTACCCTGTCTATCTGGAGAAGACAGCAACTGGTTTGAGACTCAACATTTTTTTGCAGTTTTCTTATAGTAGTTAGTTCAGTTCTTTGGGCCTGCTGGTAGGTTGTTGGGGGGGTGGGGTGGCAAAGACCTCAGGCCATTTTTGGTTCTTTCTGTTTAGTTCTTTGCTTCAGCTTGCTGCTTTTGTGGAGATGCTTTAACTTTTTCATTTTTGGTTCTTTTTTGAGTTCGTATGTTTTTGTGGAGGGGGTTCTGCTTGTTTTTTCTTCTTCTCCAAAAAAAGCTATTTTACATGGTTTTTCTCTCTTTTTTACCATCCATTGCTCCCCCCCTTATCTTTTTTTGGGGTGTTATGTATTGACTTGAATGTAAATACTGACATGCGAATCGTCTCATTGAAACTCTATGTTAAGCTTCAGCCTGGGCTAGGATCCTAATGTAACCAATAGGAGTCCTAGCCCAGAGAGTGTCTACCAATCACGCTGTAAAGCGGGACCGCTTGTGATTGGGCATTATATCTTCAACCTCATAGGTTGTTTTTTGTACAGCGGGTGTGGCTACACTAGCCGGGAATGTTTAAATACAGAGCAGCCAGTGCTTGTCCTTTGGCTCGAGTGGTTCGAATGATGGTTCTGGCTGGCGATCGTAACTAAGCTGAAGAATAAACCGCAATTCTTACTGAATCACTCTCCGACTCTTTGTTAAGCGCACGACTTAACAATTGGCGACGAGGATGGGATGCTAGTGCGGGTAGGCAGCCCCGCTAGAACGGACCCCATGTCGGACAACGAGGAGATCGCCGAGGCTGGCCAGCCACAGGTTCCACCCGCTCTGGTGGCTCCGCCTGTGCGCATAACGATGGCCGCGAGCAGCCAGAAGTTCGAATGCTTCGACCCGGCAACTGAAGACTGGGACTCTTACCTCACGAGGTTTGAGTTCCATCTGGAGGCGAATGATATCACGACGGAGGAGAAGAAGAGGGCGACTCTACTCAGCTCGTGTGG